TCTGCCGTGGACTGTAGTCACACTTGGGGCTGTTCATGGAGGTCTCTGTGTATTCCAGATTCCAGGCAACATATGTGCAATCCCAGGGGTGTTGCCACAGAGAACCTTTTGACTTAGGATGCAACCATACCACTATATGATGGCGATATTCAAGTGTTGGATTCTGCTATGCCCTAGGGGTGACGAAGCTTTTCAGTTTCCATAGCCTGTCTGAAGTCACAGTGCAGCCAGGACTGCCATGCTACGTTGAAAGGCTGTGGTTGGCTTAGCAAAATTGGAAAGGATTGGTGGTTCTGTAGCTTTTATCTACACCTGGTGGTGGTGTTGAGGTGGTGTTGACTTGCAGGCATTGTTGTGGGTGGGAGTCTGAGTAGGAATGTGGTGGGTGGGAATACAGTCAAGCTGGCTGCATGATGGAACGTTGCCTCTGAGGTCAGTGCAGAGAAGCCATGTGAGGTAACCAGTGCAAGGACAGTGTCAGGTGGTGTGTCCTGTCCACTTGGCCCTTGGGGCATCAGGCGTGGACGTCCTCTTGGAGAAGCAGCCGTTCTCTTCGGGCATCCTGAGGGCACAGTGTGGGTACGTGGACTGAGCGAAGTGGAGGAAGCCCATGTCTTGAAGTCGTTTGGCTAGGTTGGGAAAACTGTCTCTGACCTTGACGCTGTGTTTCAGTGCAACATTCTGGCCATTGGGAAGGTGCCTTCCAGTGTAGGTTTTGGTTGGTTTTCTGCCAGATGTGCCTTACCTGGGAGTGCAGCAAGAGACAATGTCTGGTCCTGACGTCAGATGCCCTGTGAGGAGTAGCGTGTACTCACGCCAGGGGTGTGGTGACTGTTACACAAGGGACCTCAGGCCTATTTCCACATGGCTTTGAGGTCAGAGTTCACATCCTACTGATTGAAGGCCTTGGTCTTGAGCCTTTGGTTTGTGGGGGGATCAGGTCTGGAAGCTGCAGACTATAACCACCCATTGCAGTGTTGGGAGATACAAACACACGTGTATGTGTGCATAGCCACAGGGAAATACATGCAGCAATGGGCGCATGAGGTCATTCCAGCCACACACGCTTCCTATATGTCCAGAGTGACACAGGTAAGATATATTCATGGAGATGGAGGTCAATCGTCTAGGCCATGGAGAAGCAGGCATGCAAGTGTCCCCACAGGTAAAGGTAGGATTGAAGTGGTGACCAGTGGACCTGGGCCCATTTCTCAAGCGTGCATTTGATTTCTTTACACTACTCAGGTGCAGTTTTCATGGGAGGCGTGGCACCTGCTGGAAGGAAGATAGTTGATTCTCCTGAGTAATGAAGGCCACGCAGAGTCCTGGTTTCGGTTATCCACAGTGCACCCTGTGCTGGTGGGTGGCTCAGGACGGTAAGCATTCCTCTGTCCCTCGTGCTTAGTGAGGGTGTCTGGGATTTCCAAAATCCACAATGAGTGGTTTTTTGGTAGGCCGCTAATGGCATTGGTGAGTTCCTCTCCTAGAGTGGATGGTCTGTACCTTTTGCTCAGTGGCGCAGCTCTGGGTTCCCCAGGGTGCCAGAGGTCTTTAAGGTCATCGGCTCACCCACGACCCAGCCTGTGGTGTCAAACAGGCTCTTTGAATGTGCTTGGATCGATGATGAGTCCCCCATAAAAACATTCCTTGGAAAAGCTGAACAAAATGAGTGAGAACTCATACCGTCGTTCTCATCGGAACTGAGGTCCAGCACGTTGCCTCCACTTGGGCTTATTGTGGTTCACACGTAACTTTGTCATATTACATTATACTTCACCACCCAGGCATTGGCATTCAATTTTTGTGGTCATTTTGACCATAGTAAAATTCTTTATCATAAATATATTTGAGAGTCATACTTGGGTAGCCCATGAATTTTTCTAGTGTTACTCTGTCAAGTTGGTTTCACCCTTAATGCTACATTTTGCATTTTTGTTTTGTGATTGATTTTTAGCCAGGTTCTGGTCACAAATATGTGAAGCCGTAGACTAGCGGATTTCATAAGTACCACAGGAGTCTAGATGACATGGCTTTCCTGACCTGTGAACCTGTCTTTCTGAAGCACACTCATTTCTTCTGCACCTTCCCAGTGTCACTGGCATGGAAGGAAGGCCCTTGTCCAAGAAAGATTGTCTTCGTCTTGTGTGATCTTTGGATACACATGGTGTGGGCTCCTTTGGAGGCTTTTGGATTTCTCCTGAATGTAAGTGATTTTTTCTGAAAGCATTCAGATTTTCCTCACTTGCAGGAACAAAGACTGTGTGTAGATTGATGATGCTTCCATATATACATTTTTTTTGGAAAGGTGAACAAAATGAGCGAAAACTCAGTACCATCATCCTCATCAAACTGAGGTCCAGCACACTTCTCCATCAGGGCCTAGATTTAGGAGGCCAACATCTGTTTGTTGTCATGGTCTGCACCAGAGCTTAGGATGTAGTTGACTTTCAGTGAAGTTGAGTAGTTGAGTATTTTGTACTCCCCTGGCTGAGAGAGATGTTTGCTGAAGGACTTCCCTGTGAGAAGGTGGGGTAGCATCCTGTCAGTGTGCAGGAGAAGGTAAACTTGCAGGTGCCAGAGGAGGGCAGTATCCAGTTGCCCACCTCTGCATGGTTGGGTCTGTCCTTGATTCATACCTCTTGGGTTCATCACCCCCCAGAAGAAGACAGTTTCTTCCACAGGAGGGGACAGCACGGTGCCATTCCTGAGCACTTCTTCAGCTCTCTTTTATCTGTGGTCGGGGACATGGGACTTCCTATGGTGTTTGAGTAGCATCAAGGGGTGGCCATCTTAAAGCCAGTGGTGATGCTGATTTGCTCTCTGGAAAGGAGCCTGGAGAAGCTCTCCACAGTGAACTTGTACATCTATGAGAAGAATTCCAAATTCCATGGCCCAAGAAGGGTAGTGGCTGTGGGAAAGGGAGAGGCCTGTGCATGCCTTTACCTGGCATCATTCCATGTGGGTCATGGAGTGATGACTGTGAGGCTCTTTCGGACATTGCAGGGTGCCCACCGTCCATTTCATGGTGTCCTCAGGATGGTTTGCTTGGGAGAGCCTGATGTCATTTGCCTCTGAACCACTCAGACATCTTGATGCATTGGGGGCTTATAAGAGTGTGTCCTTCCCCATGTCGTGGTGACTTCTACTCGGAAATGTGACCTGTCAAGGTCTCTTTACTTATATACCTCAGTGTCTCCTGATATTAGGGTGTTTTTAAATTCCTCCTAATTCTTCACAGCAGTCTTTGTGAAGTAGTTATTGTGTGGTAGGACAGCGCTACCATCCACAGGCCAATGATGGATAGGTTTTGGACTCTGATGTTATGTTCACAAGCAAGTGCCTTAAGATCTGGTTTTCTTAGCTGCAGCACCTTAGAAGTCGTGTGGGATTCAGAATGCCTGGTGCTTCTCTGGGTCCCTGAGCTGTACCTGTGTAGTGCACATAGAGGTTGATTTGTGATTTTTACATGTGTTCGGATCGGAAGAGTGTGAAGGACTCCAGACGTGACAATGCCTCAAGGCCAAAGAAAAGTTGACCTTTGCATAGGAAGAGGTTTCCCCTCCAAACTCTCCCCACTGAAGTATCACCATGGCCTTTGTCTTGTCTGATGGCCCAGAGAAGGGTTTTTGAATTGGAGTTGTTACGAGTGGTGTTGAGAGTGTTCTTCATGCTTAGTGTTCTCTAGTTGATGGTGCGTTCAAAACTCATGCCAGCCTCCTACCTTCATGTTTGGGCAAACCCATGCTTGTGTGCAGAAAGAGGGGGAGCCCATGAGAGGTAGATACAGATTACTCCACAGCAGGACAAATGACATGACCCTTGCCACCTATGCACCTCACTGCCTTTCTCAAGCACACATGTTTTGCTCCTGCACTTCTTAGGTGGCGTTGGTATGAAAGGAAGGCCAGTGACCACAAGGGACAATCTTGATCTTGGGAGATTTTTGGAGATGGTGAAGTGCCTGTAAACATGTGTGTCATGGTCTCCTTCAGGCTGGTGGACACCTCAGGACGGTAAGTATTGGTTTTTCAAAGGATCCTAATGTTCCATTTTTGCAGGTATGAGGACTGTGCATGGATCAATGATGACTTCCACACATGCATTCCTTGGAAAGCTAAACAAAATGAGTGAAAACTTTATACCGTCATCCTCTTCAAACTGAGGTCTAGCACACTGCTTCAACAGGGGCTAGAGACAGAGTTCCACCTCTCACTCATTGACGTGGGTTGCACCAAAGGGTCTGTCCAGGCTTAGGATGGGGTTCTCTTTTGGCAAGGGGTAGCCCCAGGGGAGTGGGAGCTCCCATGGACAGGAGAGTCCTTGTGTGACGGACATCTCTTAGTGAGGCCAGGGTAGCACATACACAGTGTTCAGGACTAGGTGAATGTGCAGGTGGCACAAAGGACTTAGGCTCTGCACCCCCTAGTTTGTCCTTGAGTCTTAGTTTTTGGTTCTCTCATCATCGGGAGGAAGGCAGGTCCTTCTCATTGGGAAGAGAGGAAAAGGCCACATTTTTGCCTCATTTTTATCCCTGTCTACATGCATGGATTTGTGGTCACCTGGATGCTACACACCCAGGCCAAGGTGGCTCTATTGTATCCTGTGTGTTATGAAGACATACAGTTGGCCTCCTGCCCTAAGCTGGGGCTCATGGGCAACGAGTCTCTGGCTTATCTCAAATCTGGTGTAGGTCAAAGGCTTCCTCATTAGGGGTGCAGATCCCCGAGGCTTTTGTGATCAACATTACAGGTGTGCACGCGTGTTTAAAGGGACACTTGACATCAGTTCTCTCTAGTGGGATTATGTACTCCATGGGCTCCCAGGATCTAGACGTGCATTCCCGTATCTATGCATTTCTGCGTCCATAAACAGATGAAGCCAGAGACAGACAGATTGCAGATTACTTCAGGGGGCCAGATGGCTTGTCCCGCATGACCTCTGCACATGTCTGCCTTTCTCAAGCATGCCCATGTTTCATCTGTACCTCCCAGGTGGTGTTGGCATGGAAGGAGGGCCTGTGTCTGCGAGGGATGATCATCCTCTCATGTGATCCTTGGAGATGCCAGGAAGCCCCTTGACACATATGGCATGGACTCCTTCAGAGGCTTTTGGATCCTTCGTGAATGTAAGCAAGTCCTTCCCAAAGCCCTGATTTTCCTCATTTGCAGAAACAAAGATTGTGCCTGGATCGATGATGACTTCCACATACATTTCTTGGAAAGCTGAACAAAATGAGTGAAAACTCCATGCCGTCATCCTCGTCAAACTGAGGTGTCCAGCACGCTGCTACATTGGAGGGCAGGGAGAGGGGCCAACATCTATTTGTTGACATGGCCTACACCCTGGCTTAGGATGTGGTCCTCTTTGGGCAAACGCGAGTGTCTGGGCTTTTCTGACTTCTGTAGCTAAGAGACAACTTGGTTGAAGGAATTTCCTCTAAGAGGAAGCTGCAGAACTTGAAGCTGCAGGTGGCACATGAAGCAGTAGCCAATAGCCTCCCTGTGCATGGCTACATGTGTCCTTGATTCATACCCTTTTGATTCGTCACCTCCCCCCTCACGCAGGAATACCATTGCTTTCCTGTGGGGAGAGAGCACATCATTCCTGGACACTTCTTTCACTTACTTTCGTCCTCAGTCGAGGACGTGGGAGTTCCCAAGGTATTTGGGTAGCATCAGGGGCAGGCAGCCATGAGGTGGGTGGTGAGCTGATTTGCTTTCTGCAGAGGAGCCCAGGGACAGTATCCATGTTAAACTCGTATGTCCATAGGAGGAAACTCAAGTCCTGTGGTCCCTGAAGTGTACTGGTGGTGGGAAGGGGAGAGGGCTGTGCATGCATGTACAAACAGCATTCCATGTGGGTGTGAAGCAGTGACTGTGAGCTGCTTTTGGGAGTGGTAGGGTGCCATGGTCCATTTCATGATGACCTTGGGGTGTTGGGATGGGAATGAGATTTCAAGTCCATGCGCTCCTGCCACTTCGCAGATTGACTTGGATTGAGAGGTCTGTGTTCAGGACCCTCTGTGGGATGCTTGTCTGTGTTAGGCATTTGAGCAGATTTTGGCCCAGGGTTTCTACCCTTCCAAGGTTGTACATGCTGCTGGAAGGGCTTGTTGCTCCCTCTCTGTTGATGAGGGGAAGTTTTGCTCAGGAGAGCCTGATGCCATCTGCTTCTGAACTGCTCAGGCACTTCAATGCAGTTGAGGTTGTAAGAGTGTGTCACTTCCCATGTCATGGTAACATCTACTCAGAAAAGTGACCCGTCACGGTCTCTGCACTTAAATTCTCCATTGTCTTGTGATGTTAGGTTATTTTCAAGTTCCTCCTAATTCTTCACAACAGCCTTCTTTGCAAAATAGTCATCCAGTTGTATGAGGGCTGTCATCCACAGGCCAGTGACAGAGAGCTTTTGTACTCTGTGGCCATGTTCACAGGCAAGTGGCTTAAGATATATGGTGTTCTCAGGGACAGCACCGTAGAAGCCCTGTAGGATTCAGCATGTCTGATGCTTTTCCGGGTCTCTGAGCTGCACCTGTGAGTAAGGCCCAGAGGTGGAGGTTGATTAGTGATTGTGTTTCTCAATTCTAAGTGTGTGGAAGGAGCCCATGGTAAAAACGCTTCAAGGCCGAAGGAAAGTTGCTCTTTGTGCTGGAACACTTTTTCCCTGCAGCTCTCCCCATTGAAATATCCTCATGACTGTTGTCTTCTCTGATGGCCAAGAGAATGGCTTTTGAGTCAGGAGTGGTGAAAGTGTGGTCTTGAGAGAGTTCCTCACGCTTAGTGTTTTCTAGTTTGACTGTGCCCTTGAAGTGCATGCCTGTCTTATACCTTCATGCCTGGATATATCCATGCACACATCCCCAAAGAGAGGTCGCCCATGGGAAGTAGATACGGAATGCAGCATAGCAGGATGAATGGCATGGCCCTTGCAAACTGTGTACCTGCCTGCCTTTCTCAAGCACACCTGTTTTTCCTCTGCACTTCCCAGGTGGCATGGGCATGCAAAGACAGACAGAGGCTGCAGGGATGAACTTCATCTTGGGAGATCTCTGGAGATGGCAGGGAACCCCTGGACACATGTGGCATGGGCTCCTTCGGGTGCCGGTGGATCCCTTTATATGGTAAGTGTTCATTTCTCAAAAGACCCTAATGTTCTTCCTTTACAGGAATGAATACTGTGCATGCGTCAATGACGACTTCCATACATGCATTCCTTGTATGGAAAGCGGAACAAAATGAGTGGAAACTCTATACTATCATCTTAGCTGAACTGAGGTCCACTGGGGCTAGAGAGGGACAACTCTCATTTTTTTTTTTTATTCCTGATGCATGAAGTGTTTGTCCAGGCTTAGGAAGGGATTCTGTTTGGGCGAAGGAGAGTCACAGGGGAGTTGAGGCTATGTGTACTGGACTTCCGTCTACGAGGCTGGGGTAGCACACATGCAGTCTGTGGGACTAGGCAAATGTGCAGGTTGCTCAGGGAGAGGTAACCTATAGCCTGCCTCTGGGTGGCCAGGACTGTCCTTCACTCCTGGCTCTGGGTTCCCACAACCCCTGGAGGAAGACAAGTGATTATCTTTGGGAAGACAGAACGAGGACATACATTTGCCTTTTTTTTTTTTTTTTTCATTCTTGGTTTGAGAACAGTGGAGTTCCAGTCACCTGGCATAGCTTTCAGGCAAGCGTGCCCATGTTGTGTCCCATTCATTGTGAGTACATGCATATGGCAGGAACACAGAGGTTCCTACTGCAAGCTGGGCCTGATAGGCAAGGAGTCTCCAGCTTAACCCCAGCCAGCTCAGTGTCGGTCAATGACTTCCTCATTAAAATTACATGGCCCCGTAGCTTTAGTGAGTGACATTGTAGGTGTCAACATAAGGATGTTGAGAGGGATGCTCAGTGTCACTGCTCTTTAGTGTGCTGATGCACTACAGGAGCACCTGAGCCCTTGTCCATGCATTTCTGTGTCCAAAATCAGGTAAAATCAGAGTTGGGTATCAACCAGATATACTGCAGGGTACCAGAAGACATGGCCTTTGTGTACTGTACATCTGTCAGATTTTCTCAAGCACACCCATGTTTCCTCTTCACCTCCCAGGTGGCCATGATGAATTGGCCAGGCCCATGTTGGTGAGGGACAATCATCATCTCGTGCTATTCTCAGAGATGCCAGGAAGCTCCTGGACACACATGGTGTAGGCTTCTTTGGAGGCTGTTGGATCCCTCCTGAATGTAAGCAGTTCCTTCCCAGTGCACCCTGATTTTCCTCATTTGCAGAAACAAAGATTGTGCATGGATCGATGATGACTTCCATATATACATTCCTTGGAAAGCTGAACAAAATGAGTGAAAACTCTATACCGTCATCCTCGTCGAACTGAGGTCCAGCACACTGCTCCATCAGGGGCTCAAGAGAGAGAGGAACAATGTCCTTTTGTTGACACAGGCTGCACCAAGGCTTCGGATGGGGTCTTTTTCTGGCAAAGGAGAGTAGCTGGGAATTTTGGACATTTGTAACTAAGAGACAGCTTGGTTGCAGGCAGTCAGGTGTGTCCGCGATTTGTACCCTTGGGTCCCTTGACCTTCAGAGGAAGACTATTGCTTCCATGGTGGTGGACAGCACAAGGTCATTCCTGGGCACCTCTTTCACTCACTTTCATCCTTGGCCAGGGACATAGGACTTCCCATGGTGTTTGGATAACATCAGGGGCAGGCAGTCCTCAGGAGGATGGCGATGCTGATTTGCTTTCTGCAGAGGAGCCCAGAGAGGGTATCCATGTTGAACTTGTATGTCCCTAGGAGGAAACCCAAACTGCATGGCCCCTGAAGGGTCCTGGTACTTAGAAGGGGAGAGAGGTGCACATGCATTTACCACAGTCTTCTGTTTGGGTCGTGGAGAGATGACTGTGAGCCTCTTTTGGGTGTTGTAGGGTTCATATGGTTTATTTATGATGACCTTGGGATGCTGGGATGGCAGTGTAATTGCGAATCCACATGTTCCCTCAACTCCACAGACTGACTTGGTTTGTCAGGTTTGTGTTCAGGCCCTCTGTGGAATGCTTGTCTCCATTAAGAATTTGAGATGGGGCCGGGCGTGGTGGCTAATGCCTGTAATCCTAGCACTTTGGGAGGCCAAGGCGGGTGGATCACCTGAGGTCAGGAGTTCAAGACCAGCCTGGCTAACAAGGTGAAACCCCATTTCTATTAAAAATAAATTTAAAAAAATTAGCTGGGCGTGGTGACGGGCGCCTATAATCCCAGCTACTCGGGAGGCTGAGGCAGGAGAATTGCTTGAACCCAAGGGGCAGAGGTTGCAATGAGCCAAGAGCAGGCCACTTCACTCCAGCCTGGGCAAAAAAGCGAAACTCCGTCTCAAAAAAAAAAAAATTTGAGGTGATACCAGCCCAGGTCAACATGTTGTGCATACTGCTGGCAAGGGTTATTTGCTCCCTGTTTCCCTGTGTTGATTTGGGGATGGTTTTCTCAGGAAAGGCTGATGTCGTTTTTCTCTGAATTGCTCACACACTTCGATGTGGCTCAGGTGCCTGGTGATATGTGTGTGAGCTCCCGTATCATGGTGACTTCTACTTAGAAAAGCAATCCAGCAAGGTCGCTGTGTTTAAATACCTCAGTGCCTCATGATGTTAGACTATTTTTAAATTCTTTCTAATTCTTCACAACAGACTTGTTTGTGAAATAATCATCATGTGGTAGGACAGGGCTCGTGTTCACAGACCAGTGATGGATAGGTTTTGGACTCCACGGTCATGTTTGCATGCAAGTGCCTTAAGATGTATGCTGTTCTCAGCCGCAGCACCTTAGAAGCCCTGTGGGATTCAGTGTGTCTGGTGCTTTTCTGGGCCCCTGGGCTGCACCTGTAAGAAAGACCCCGAGGCGGAGGTTGATTTGTGATTGAACATGTTTCTTGAATGTGAAGTGTGTTGACAGATCCTTGCAGTAAAAATGCTTCAAGGCTGAAGGAAAATTGCCCTCTGCACAGGAAGAGTTTTTGTTCCCTAAAACTCTCCGCATTTCAGATATCTCTATGGTCTGTGTCTTCTCTGATAGCCAAGGGAAGGGCTTTTGAGTCGGGGCATCAAATGAGTGGTGTTAGGAGTTCTTCACACTTAGTACTCTGTAACTTGATGGTGCCCTCAAAAGGTATGTGTGACTCAGACCTTCCTGCCTGGTGCTCCTGTGCACACATCCTCAAATGGGTATCCCGTGGGAAGTAGCGATAGGATATCCCACAGGGGGTTGAATGGCATGCCTGTCTTTCTCAAGCACACCCGTGTTGCCTCTGTACTTCCTAGGTGGTGTGGGCATGGAAGGAAGGCCAGTGGAGACAATGGATGATCTTGCTCTTAGAAGATCACTGGAGGTGGCAGGGAGTCCTAGGACACGTGTGGCGTGGGCCCCTTCAGGTGCTGGTAAGTATCTGTTCCCCACAACCCCCTAATATTACTCCTTTGTGGACATGAAGACTGTGCATGGATCGATGATGACTTTCATACATGCATTCCTTGGAAAGCTGAACAAAATGAGTGAAAACTCTATACCGTCATCCTCGTCGAACTGAGGTCCAGCACATTGCTCTTACAGGGGCTGGAGTGAGGGCCAAGTTTCATTTGTTGCTGCAGGTTGCACCAAGGGGGTTGTTCAGTTGTACAAGGTGCTCCCTTTCTGCAAGGGGTAGTCACAGGGTTGTGGGATCTCTCATAAACAGGAAATTGTTTGAGGGACTTCTCGCTGCAAGGTAACACACACGCTGTCTGCGGGACTATGTGAATGTGGAGGTAGCATGGGAAGACTTAGCCTGTCGGCGGCCTCTGGTGGCCATATTTGTCCTTGAGTCTTAGCTCTGGGTTCCATCATTCCCTTGAGGAAACACAGGTGTTTGTGCTTGGGAAGAGTGCACAACGCCACACCTTTGCTGTTTTTTCCACTCATTTTCATCATTGTTCAAGGACATTGCAGTTCTGGTTATATCCGTAAACAGGGAAGCCAAAGACAGGCAGATACCAGATATACCATAGGGGGCCGGATGACACGGCCCTCATGACCTCTGAATGTGTCTGCTTTTCTGAAGCACACTTGTGTTTCCTCTGCACCTCCCAGGTGGTGTTGGCATGAAAGGAAAGGAGGTATCTTCGAGGGACAGTCTTCGCCTTGTGCGATCCTCGGAGATGCCACGAGGACTCTGGACACATGTGGTGCGGCCTCCTTTGGAGGCTGTTGAATCCCTTCTGAATGTAAGTGTCCACTTTCCAAAGTCCTGATTTTCCTCATTTTCGGGCATGAATAATGTGCATGGATCGATGATGACTTCCATATACACATTCCTTGGAAAGCTGAACAAAATGAGTGAAAACTCTCTACCGTCATCCTCGTCGAACTGAGGTCCAGCACAGTGCTCATCAGGGGCTAGAGAGAGGGACAACATGCATTTGTTGACACGGGCTGCATCAATGCTTGGGATGGGGTCGTCTTTGGGTGAAGTGGAGTAGCTGCGCATTTTGGACTTCCGTGGCTGAGAGACAGCTTGGTTGAAGCGCTTCCCTCTGTGTGGCTGTGTGTGTCCTTGATTCATACTCCTTGGCTCCTGCCCTCCCCCGAGGAAGACAGTGGCTTCTGCATGGGGACATAGCACAGTGTTGTTCCCAGGCACTTCTTCGGCTCACTCTTATCCTAAGTCGGAGACATGGGAGTTCCCATGGTGTTTGGGTATCATCAAGGTCAGGCAGTCGTGAGGAGGGTGGCAATACTGATTTGCTTTCTGCAGAGGAGCCCAGATAGAGTATCCACATTGAACCTGTATGTCCATAGGAGGAAACCCAAATCTCATGGCCCCAGAAGCATGCTGGCAGTGGAAGGGGAGAGAGCTGTGCATGTGTGTACTGCACAGCCTTCTGTCTGGGTCACGGAGTGATGACTGTGAGTCTCTTTCGGGCATTGTAGGGTGCCCATGGTCCATTTCATGATGACCTCAGGGTGCTGGGATGGGAACGTCATTGTGGGTCCACGTGCTCCTGCATCTCTGCAGACTGACTTGTGGAAGGTCTGTGTTCAGGAACCTCTGTGGGAGGCTTTTCCTTGGTGCATTTGAGGTGCCTGATGATGAGTGTGTAGGTTTCTGTATCCTGGTGACTTGTACTCAGAAGTGTGACCCAGCAAGGTGTCTGTGCTTAAATACCTTAGTGGCTCGTGATGTTAGGTTATTTTCAAATTCCTCCTAGTTGTGTGTGACAATTCACACAAGTCTTTGTGAAATTGTCTTTGAATTATATGACAGGGCTAGTGTCCGTAGGCCAGTGATGGATAGGTTGTGGACTCCATAGCCATGTTCACAGCCAAGTGCCTTAAGATATTTGGTGTTCTCAGTCTTAGTGCCTCGGAAGCCCTGTAGGATTCAGCGTGTCTCATGCTCTTGTGAGTCCCCGAGCTGTACCCTGGAGGAAAACCATGAGGTAGAGGTTGATTTGTGATTGAGCATGTTTCTCAGTGGGAAGAGTGTCAAAGGAGCCTGGGGTGAAAGTATTTCAAGGCCAAAGGAAAATTACCCTTTGCTCAAGAAGAGGCTTTCCTTGAAACTGTCCTCATTGAAATAGCCTCATGGATTTCATCTCCTGTGATGGCCAAGAGCAGGACTTTTGATTCAGAGGTGGCAAATGAGTGGTGTTGAGAGAGTTTGTTATGCTTGGTGCTCTGTAGCTGGATGGAGCCCTCAAAATTTGTGTGTGCCTGATAGCTTCATGCCTGGTTACACCCATGCACATGTCCCAACAAGAGGGGCTGCCCGTGGGAGATACATACATGATACATCACAGTGGGATGAATGGCATGGCCCTTGCAACGTATGTACCTGCCTGCTGTTCTCAAGCACACCTGTTTTTCCTCTGAACTTTCCAGGTGGTGCGGGCATAGAAGGAAGGCCATGAAGGACAATCTTGGTCTTGGGAGATCCCTGGAATTGATAGGGAGCCCCTTGATATGTGTGGCATGGGCTCCTTCAGGTGCTAGCGGATTCCTTAGGATGGTAAGTGTCCATTTCTCAAAAGCTCCAGATATTCCTCCTCTGCAGGGACAAAGACTGTGCATGGATCGATGATGACTTCCATATATACATTCCTTGGAAAGCTGAACAAAATGAGTGAAAACTCTATACCGTCATCCTCGTCGAACTG